CGGGGCAGCGCAGCCGCACATGCCAGTGCTGGGTGCCCCCATCCTGGGAACGGGATTGCTCCGGGCAGGGGTGTCAAGGGGCCGGGGACTTGAGGAGGGAGCGCGGCAGTCGGAGCACCGGTTGGGGCACGGGGTGTCCACACCGCACCCTTCGTGATGTGAAAAACTCCAAGACAGGCAGCCCCAGCCTGGCAAGTCTTCCTCGGGGGTGGTGATGCTCATTGCCGGAGGAGTTCCCAAAGGAAGATCAATGAAATCCCAAAGAAAGGTCAGTGTAGTCCCTCTTGAAAAGGCAGCAAAGACCTGGCCGCCTGACTCGGGGCAAGGCGCGGGAGGAGGCTGACAGTCTGAATTCAAGCTGTGCTGAATCCCTTCCTCCTTGGGGTCCCCCGTGGGGGTTCAGGCATCCCGGGACCTCAGGCCAGGAGCGACATGATGAAGGGCGTGTGGAGAGGCTGGACAGAGTCAAGAGCGGAGCCAGGGCCACATCCCAGCCACGTGCTCCCTCCTGCTCCGCTCTTGTTCCTTGGCTGCCTGCAGCCGCGCTACCCTCCCTCCTGTGCGAGAGGGAGCACCGCGTCCGCTGCCGTCCTGTTACGTTGCCAAACAAGTAACGAGGCACTGGGGTAAACTGCGAAAGACTCAGTCCTGCGTGCTCTTACTGGCTCAAGTAATCCTGATCCAAGAGCGCAGTTCGGCTCCTTGCGCGCGGCCTGCCCTGGGTACGCGCCAGCGCTGGGACAAAAAAAATGAGCCGAGTCCTTGGGCCACAGGAGGTGGGAAAAACCTCTCGGGCTCCTGAGTCTTAGGGCTTGCTAAGGCAGAAAGGGAAAATTTGGAGGACTGTTCTAGAAGGGCTGCCCTTTCCTTTTTGTTGTGCATGCCCTTTCCACGCCTTGACTCCATAATCATTGCTCTGCCTAACAAGAGAGACGAGTATGTATTTGATCATTGCATTGCTTTGAACCGAAGCGTTTGTAGTGTGTGTGGTGTATGCTTACAGCACTGTCACAGCATTAACCAGGAGGACTGTTTTGTCTTCCCTCCACAGCCTGGAAGTGTCTCCTCAGGTAGAAACCAGCTCAGATGCTCCTTCTCATTTTCCTCCCTGCTCCCCTGCCCAGTTTCCTCCTGCTGCTGTAGCCCACCTCGCTAGCATGCCAAGCGCTAACCTCTCTCCCGCTATTGGAGACAGTCAGTCCGGATGCTTGTCCCCTACCAACCCATTCCTCAGCTCCCTGCAGAGCAATCCCTTCTTTGAGGACCTCCTCGCTGACCAGGTACTAAATTCTCCTTCACCTACTCGCTTTTTCTCTAGTTTCCCGTCTGGGCCGCATGCTTCAACAGAGGTCGCTGGGAGCTTTTATTCCTCTGAGGATTGCAGTCCCTCTGCCTCCCTAAGACATAAAGACCCGGAGAGGGATTCTCCAGCCAAAAGCGTTTGTGTCCCCGTTCCAGAAACTACTCCCCCATCACAAGGAGACCTTCCTCCTCCGGACGAGAAACCCGCCGTCCCTCCTCCCCTCCCGGAGTGGGACGATACCTTCGATGCCTTTGCGACCAGCAGGCTCAAACCAGAACTGAAGAAAGAAAACTTCTTTGCTTCGGTAGTGGCGGAGGGCATGGCTTTCATCGACGATCCCGATGCAGCCAGCCCGACGGAAAGATCAGCCGAGCCGGCTCGCGAGAAGGGGACAAAGGTATTTGAAAAGGCCGATTCGCAAATCGGCAGTGAAATGCCTGCAGCTCTACGGTCTTGGACAAATTTCTCCAGTTTAGATGTGGGGGCAAACTTGGTGAGCACAACCCAGGAAGCGACCGTGATAGAGGATGTGCTGAGCCCTGTGTCTGCAGGGTCGATGGGAAGGAGGAGGAAAAGCAGCACGCCTACAGTTTGGACAGCCACGTTTGCGTTGGGAAATCCAGGGGAAAAAGAGGCTTCAACAGCACTAACTGCTGAAAATAGCGCTAGGGAGGAAGAGGACAGTAATGAGGAGGAACCCTCCAGTGCAGGGACGAACGGGTGGATGACCATAGCCACGGAAACAGTTCCTGACCTGTCAGAGAGCACCCAAAGCCTGGCTGAGCCGGAGCACGTGGGCCAGGAGAGCGCGTTCGGCCCGCGGCCGGCCTTCCTCAGTGAAGGCACCTTCGAAGCCAAGAGCGGCTCTCGCGCCGCCGCTTGCGTGTTGCCCAGAAGCACCTTCGCCTCCGAGCCCCTCTCCGAAACCCTGCTAGGCAGCAACGTGGCGGCCGTGCCCCCGCGGGTGCTCGCAGATGTGGCAGCACGACGATTCCCCATGGCCCC